CTCCCATATTTGATAGCTCATTTACTCAATACTGGCATGTGCGACAACTTAACCATTTTGCCACGACATGCCTCATACATTGCTGCAAATAGCTTTACTATACTTACATTAAAAAATCGAATAAATCAAATTTTAAATATACAGTAATGGATTATTTATCATCAAGCTTTAAATTTAATGAAATAATTCTTGATAACAAATTTTTGTTGATGAATTCTGAAAGTATTTTCACAAAACTTTTAATCAAGTTGAATTACCTCTCCAAAATCTCCAGTTACAAAATTGTACACAAGAGCAGGGCAATCGCTCAAAGTACAGATTCTTTCTGATTCCGGCTTCGCTAGACCAGCATCAAGACAAAGTTGATCGTCAACAATTTGAAATGTGCTGCTAGTGGCACAGGAAACTGTGCGGGTCTCTACGCCTGTACCACAAGTTACAGAGCACTAGAAAAAAAACAAAAAAAACAAATCAACAATTCAACTTAAAATGGCCTCTGAATTATTATGGGACAATGAGTCTTAATGTCTTTTTGCTCATCCCTGTAATCATTAGTATTATTATTAACACTCTGCCAACCAAACACGGAGATCTCCGTGTTTGATAATGCAATGCTTGACTGCCAAACACGGAGAGTCATTTTCGTTTTACTGTTACAGGTCACAGATTGTGTTTAGAATAAAGTGTTTGGTACAATTGTAAAGCTGAAATGTTTGTAATTCTTGTAGTATTCACTACATGTCAATCTGATGACATACGCACTCTCAACGAGCTTCAGAAAAGTGTTAAAATTAGCTAAAAAGTTTGGCAGTGGCTGATACTACTTTTTCAAACCTCTGGTGGCCAGAGTGTTAATCATTACCATATAAAGACCATGGTCAACATCATTATTATTATATAGGTTACAATTCAATATTGCAATTAATATAAAAAAAATGATTGTAATAAAGATCTTATTTTCCATCTTTATAATTCTAAAATATGTAACATACTCCCATGAAACTTGGACAAAGTGACAAAATTCTAAAACATGTTTTTATATGTAATTATATCCTATGATTAATTTGTTACTTACCATGTAAGTAGAGGTGACAAAGAGGTAAGAGGTTGTGCAAACAGCTGGATTGCAGGGTTGTGTGGTAGATGGCTGTGTGAGGCCAGCTGCCACACAGTTGGCGGAGTCAACAGTTGTAGATGTACCAATATTCACACAGGAAACACTCCTGGTCATAGTACCAGCACCACAAGTTACAGAACACTGTAAGGAAAGTGTATTTATCAATATTACATTAGGCAGTTTTTGCCGCACGACGTTAACCTTAACTTTAACGTTAGTACCCAACATGAAACATGATAGCTCCGCCCCTTTAGTAAACAAATTGAAATAGCGGTACGCATGCGCAAACCCATAACTTACATACGTCCTGAAATTAACATACTCCGCAACCTAAGATGAATAAATTATGACATCATCCGTTAGCATTAAGGTTAACGTCGTGCGGCGAAAACTACCTATTACATTGTCTCATAAACTCTGAACACCAGTGAACAACTGAACATTTATTTCTAATAATATAGAACGAGTAAACATGGAAAATATTGTAATATAGTACACATTTTCTTTAATTTTATCTAGTTTAAATCTTAAATCTATATCTGCCCAAACACAGGCATAATGGGTGTCTCTTCAGCTGCTGCATACAAGTAATCTGTATCTCATTAACCATTCCCAACTCCATTTTTGTGTCATAGAAACTGAGTTCTGCAAGATATCAACATTTCTTTCCACTCTGGAGCCTGGCTTCAACAGATATGTCTAATCCATAGGTCCGGTTAGTGATACTTAGAATTGTACATAATGTTTTTGTGGTTTACCATTCCTTCAGAGTGTTATACAAGGTGTTCTGTATCGCACTTTGATTCGGATTTTTTACGTTTACTTACAGCACCAAAAGCGCCTGACTGATATTGGCAGTTATCATAGTTGAGACAATTTTGTGTTGACGGAGGCATTACAAGTCCTGCATTCTGACAATTTGATGCTGGAACAGTATTATTTTGGTCATTGACACAGACAACAGTACGGCTCTGAGTTGAAAGGCCGCAATTTGAAGTACAAATACCATATGAACCAACACGGTACATATATCTGAAAAGTGACAAGGAAATTATTATATAAGTATTACAGTAACAATGGAATGTACTAAATCTTTTATTGATTGAAAGATGTCTCGTTGTAGCAGAATGAAGATCCCTGATATACAGAAATTAATGTATATAATTCTACAGTGTGTAATGACTATTTAATGCAAGTTAATATTTTCATAAAATTTGTGTTTCAATTACGTCGTCGTTGTTGTTCCACAAGCGGAATTACATTCGGCGAGATCACAATTACAAGCTTGGGTATCAGGTGGAATCTCTGGTGGGCACTGAGTAATATCAGTCAGTACGGTAATTGATCCGTCAATCTCGACACGGGTACAAGCTACAAGGCGTTCTTGCATACAGTTAACACATGTTCCCCAATTTGATTCTTGCCACCTAATCATAAAATAAATTAAACACAAATAAGAGAAATGTGTACAATAAATAGAATGTTTATTATGTTATTAAGATTTTAATACTAGTTCTCTATATTCTTCAAACATAAATAATGCAAGAATATTGAATGAAACTTCACATGTAATTTAGGTGACTACGGTATATCTGTATGCATTTTTACATCATTGTTTCTACTTTTATTCCAAACCATGAATATTATTATAATTATTAGGATTAATATTATTTAATGTATAATAATCATTTTAAATATTATGTTATGATATTAAGACTATTATAATGCATTTAAGAATCTTGTTTTTGTTGTCATAACATATACTGCTTGGTTCACAAATTTAACAGAAAAAATACATAGAATGGTCTGTAATGAGCCTTTAGAATTGTTGCTTCAGTTGTTAAAGAGGTTCGGAACATTTATGAAAACAAGATAATTAAGCTAAGTAAATAATATCATTTTCATCCACTATACTATAAATTCCCTATAACACTTCAGACCACAATCAAATAATTCATAACATAGATTTTCATATTCAAGGTATGACAATTGTTCCAAATGCAATTCAGTGGTGGCGCCAGCGGGGGCAGGGGACTAAGGTCCCCCCCCCACCAACCACTGGCCGAGCTTGTCTGGCAGTCGGACCAAAAGAAAACAATTTTAAATAGGTTTACACCAATCCAAAACATGACTTTCACAGTCGTAGAGTGCCATTTCCGGCCATCCAGAGGTCCCTATTTTTAAACAAAATCTCATTTGGGAGGGGGATCCTTCCCCTCCTCAGGCATACAAGCTCAAGTCCACCCTGTCAGACAGCTTAGCCCCACCTCCCCCCCCCATAAAATGTATCCTATAGCCACCACTTATGCAATTCGCTTTTATATTTCCTAAATTAATTTTTGAATATTTTAATGTCTTTATGTTTTATTTAACAATAATTATAAACAATTTTCAAGAAATACATGTTTTATGACAAATAACAGATTTATTAATAATAGTATACTGTAGATAGTTCCATTTTTTAAACAATCCACATAAATTATATAGAATATTCCACAACTATAATAGATTGTAATATAATTTTTAAAATTTTATAATGAATTATAATTTGTCACTTACTGTCCTGGACAACTGCTTCCGGTACATTGTCTTGTGTTACGGATGTGAAGGCACCATCCTTCGAGACAAACTCCATATCTTGCACATCGCGTGCCAGCAAGGGCAGGTACTTCAGTAGGTATATCTGTACCTTGTTCCGTGTCACACAAAAGTTGAGTACAAACAGCCTGAGGATGAAACATGAAAGGTACTTGTATTGTGCAATATATAATCTGGGTCTGGGAATTCATCTTGTAGTGTATTTGCTAAGTCATCATTATACTTAAGATGTTCAAGAACACATAATTACAGAAACTGGTAGAATTAAAAAATGAAGCACTACACTGTCCATAGGCTTTGAATATCATTATCATTGGTAGTATATGTCTACCTCTAATTTAAGACCACTTCCAATTAAAGACCACATTTCTGTGGTCTCAAACTAAGAAATGTCTTTTACTTTATTACTTTAATTAGAGATCAAAGCTACTGAAAACCATGGAAACCACAGTCCTAAAAGTGGAGGGAGGCCAGTAATAGCAGTAGTAGAAGTGGTACTACTACCACTGCAGACTTCTCAATTTCGTAAAATGTATTTCCGTAACTATGTCTTCAGATTTCCATAGTAAATGAAAAATTTCCGTAGCACCCACCAAATAATTTGCCGTGAGTGCAAGGTATAAGCATCGGAGTTATGTTTATTTTGAAAATGGGCCCAGCCATCCTAGGCCCGATCGTCTTCTGGCTCGATTGTCTGTAATTTGATGTGAATTTCAAACAAATAGGACAGGGTGAAGATTTCCGGGCCACTTTTTCTTTTTTGCAACAATTTATCAGTAATTCGACAAGTATAGTTGTCTAAGGACAACGAAAGATCCTGATGTAAAAGTTATTTTGTTCTGGATTATAAATCTATTTATTTATGGGCCTAGGCCTATGATGAATTTCCGAAGTATTTTTGTCTGTTTCCGTACGTCCGTAATTAGGCAAAATTTCTGTAGAAAATAGGCCTAACTGCTGAAGTTTCGTAGTCTGCTATGGGATCATGACTCTACTACCATCATGAATGAAGATAATAGCAATGGCTACAACCACAAGGCAAAGGAATGTGTCCAGCTATGGAGTGTTGGACATGGACACAATAAGTAGTAGTACTGTAGCATTGGCCTAGTATTAGCAGTCTAGTAGTATTATTACCATTACATTATTATTAATGTATTTTTATTATTATTATTATTATTATTATTATTATTACTATATTACTATTACTACTAATAACACTATTAAATTATTATTATTATTATTATTATTATTACTATTATTAACATTACTATTACTACTAATAACATTATCAAATTATTATTATTATTACTAATTTGAAATAATATTAATATTATTGCTGTTGTTGTTCTATTCTATTACTACTAACAACATTATTAAATTATTATTATTATTAATCATTAATTCAAAATAATATCATTTCTGTTGTTGTTATTGTTGTTGTTGTCATGGATGTTATTATTTATCAAGACCATCTAAATCCAAACAGAAAATTACTTTGTTCTAGCTAAGTTTACAGGTTTCTTGTTGTTTGACAAGCCATGTAGTCAAAACTACAAGATCCATACTTTACCCTGACCTTTATTAAATAAAGCCATGTTGTTCATAATGCAACCACCTCTATCTTTCAGGATAATCCTTGAAATTCTATACAGGCAGCACAAGAATCAGATAGGATAACATGCCCATTGTAGTACACCTAAATACAAGGCGAGTCGAACGGTTGAGCGGTTAAGGCAGGTGAACCACAACCTACACCCAAAATCGGCGCTGGTTCGAACAGCACGCTCATATGTGGTTCTGGTGGTGGAACAAGCTTCTCGGATAAGGACTACCATAGGCCCAGTGTACACAATTGGCTCATGTGCACTCTAAAGAACTCAGTACATCTTTTGAGACAATTAGGGAGGTTACCCCCGGCGCACTGGTCCATACGTCCCCTGTTACCCTGCATTAGGTCCTATGCAGGATGTACCTACATAAACGTAAATGCACCTCAACCTACCTCAGTGTTTTTCACACTAGCAGCAACCTCAGCATTGGTTCCTTGGAATACATCCTGGCACTGTTGGGTGGCATCATGCTTGCTGCCTGGGAGAACCCATTCAGTAGGGTTGTATGAAGACTTACTAGTGGGTTTATTGTATAAGCAGGATGAAGAGCTAAGGAAGTCTGAGAAGTCAGCCATGCTACAGGAAGACCACTTGTAAGCATTTTTCCCTCTTGGCGATGAAGGAGACATAATATTCCCACTGTCTTTGCAGCTACTAAGTTCTCCATCATGGCGAATTCCAAGTCTGAAGTTAATTTTTAAATATTAGTTACATTCATAAAAAATAATCAATGTGTATATTATAATAATTTTAATATCAGTATGGTTAAACATGAGACGGTCACCCTAAAGGCGAACTAAGGGTGGGTGGGTATGGGTGGGTATGTGAACTCTTAGGTTCCCCTTACAGGAAATTTCTGTGCAAAAGAAAGTTAATAGGCTTGTTTTGCATGTTTAATAGTTGTAATGTTCATATTAATTAAGGTTTGCTTGTCATAAAATTAGCTTATCCTATTAGTCATACATTAACCAAGACAAAGATTTGCTATTCATAAAAAAAAAAAGGACTACTATTCATAAGTTTCACTAGTAACAATTAGGAAAACTAGTCTTCTATTAGTAGGACCTCCTACAAATTATTGCTTCTCTCTTGCACATTTATCATTAAAAGAAAATTTGAATAATAATTATCCACACACATATACAGGTAATTCTGACAGAAGGTAATTGATTTTTGGTTTTATAGTTTGGTTCTGATACGAAAATGCTTATATGCATTAAGGTGCTTACCATATATTTAACTTTATATAATTCCATAAAAGGACTGCTATATATGGAAAAGATTCATTAGCTATAATTTAAACAAAGGACCACTAATATTTTATAAAATGTTTCTTAGGTTATCAGTAGTAAACAATTTTTTTTATTATGATTAGTGAACCTTTTCTTGATGACCAATATCAATATAACTTTATTTATGACTAGTGAACCACTTTGTCTATTATCGTTCCAACCCTCCAGATTTGATTAGGAGTCTCCCAAATTTTTATGCAATCTCCCAGTCTCAAGTTTTCTAAAATTCTCCTGAATTTTTAGAAAAGAAACTAATTAGTGGGTTTTTAGTACCAATAATTGAGCATTTTCTGTGTCAAATTTTTCTTTGTACTTCTTATACTTCTCAAACTATAATAAAGGCACACGCACTCAAGTCGTGCATAGCTATAAGAAGATGTATTCTGGCTGTACAGGGCTCTTTCGTTAAAACGTGGGTCATTTATGCAGTTCATTTCAACAATTTTCAGGCATCTTTTTTACTTATGAAATCACACTGCTGCCGAAAAGTTAGGGAACCAACCTTAAAAGTATGTGGGGTGGAAGTGTCCTCCCATCCACCCCATGATCATGTGATACTATTCCTTTGCTATAGCGACCCAAAATGTTGTCAACCAGCTCCATTGTTTCCACTGACAAACCAATAATCCCAATTACTAACATAATTATTACGTTAGGCCTATATCTTAATGTTCGATCTACTATGATGCAAGCTTTTTATGTTTTTAGTACATTTTGATGGTAAATTATTAGGTTTTAAATGCCTATTCCAGAAAGCCTATTATAAGCCATTAAGATTATGAAGTCAGATGTAATGACTGCTTTACCAAAGTCTGGTTGAGAACAAAATGCGCCACCTGGTGTTGTGACACACTTGTGTTATAATCTATATGTCTACATTATTTCTTTTACGTTTATATAACAATGTTCTATTTACATTGTGCTATAATTTTATGTAGTCATTTAAGTTTTAATAATAATAGTATGTTGACACATGCAGTGAAAAATCCGAAACACTGTGTGGTTGAAAGTGGCACGTTATTTTTCGACCTTGACTTATTTACAAATCTTAGAGTCCATCAAGATTGTCAAAGTTTCTTACCTCACCCCCAACCATGGTGGGGCTAAGGTGGTATCCCTCCATTCAAATGATCAAAAATGTCTGATCGCGAGGGGGCTCCGCCCACTCGACCCCAGCAGGATTCTGCGGCCCCCAACCATTTTGGTCCACTCTTCATAAATTCGCACACACCCAAATAAAAAATATCTACCTAGCTTTTGGGCGTTCCATACCGAAATCCACTGGGTTGGACACGTCGAGGATTCCACTGAGAGTGGGACCGTCCACCACACACTCATAAATTTTAATAACATGTTTACTTACTAACTATTGCTATAATAAAAAAAAATATCAGAAAATGTACTTACGCATGACCAATTTCATGGGTGATAGTAAACACAAGTCCTCCGGGACTATGATCCTCAGCAATTGCACAACGTGAAGCAGGTTGACAAGCGCTACCAATGTCAGTAGCCTGACCAGTGACACCGGTGTTGCCACCAGACTGGAGATTCAATCTGAACAAGAAACAAGAAACGTTGTTTACAAATAATCTTTAGTGATTATTATTAATGTGTTTGATCAATGAATTAATTATATTATAAAAAAAAAACCACTTACCTTGTAATCAATAGACTAACATCGGGGTTACCCAGGTTCTCTTGCCAGTGGCAAAAGTTGCTCAAATAAGTATCAACATCGTCAGTTGCATCAAGACCGATCTGAACGTTTAAATGAAATGTTTGTCTTATTAGGTTCGGAAGCGATTTAAAAAAAAAAATACAGAGTACTTATATATCCTATCATCCCAATCTTTCTGGCACATCTTTAAATCAGCAACAAACCAGTGGCGCCCCTCCACCCTCTATTTTTTTTTTCTTAAATAAAAAAAAAATAATGATTGAGGAATTGAAATGAAGAAAATCATATTAAAACCCGGCCATCTAGAGGTGCCATAATCACATTTTTTTGCCTTAGCCCCACTATGTTGGGGCTGATGTCGTGTAGATCCTCCATCTGTGAAAGTCCCTCACTTGGTCCCCCTCCAGGCCTATTTCTAATGCTGGACCCGCAACTGCAAACCAATGCAATCATAGGCTAGGCAAAATTTAACTGTATTTGGGTTTGTAAAATTGCTTTTATTAAAAGAAATCCTACTTTTGTAAATATGCCTATTACTCATTGTGCTTTATCTGAATTGCATAAGACCTATCAGACAACCATGCAACTTGTACCTGTAAGTCAAAAACGTATGGGGGTCATATAGACTGTTCTTCAGATTTGTGCTCTTTCTATTCTTAAGTGAGCTATACATGCACAACCATTTACCACGTACCTGTGTTTCTTCAAAAACGATTAAATTCTGGACAGTTAATTTGATATTACTCCCAAGAGACTTATCTTTAAAAAGTTGGCGGACCTGTTTATAAATAAAGATATATATATTTAGTGTAAACATTTTATTATGAAAAATTTTACTTTTATAAATAATTCTCGGAAAAAATAGGTTATAATTTCACCTATTTCCGAAAATGGCACATGCAAGATGTCTCTAATTTCCCCGGCATATAAATCATAGTATGCTGCGAATCACATCATTTTTTCCTAAATTTCAGTTTCCATCACTTACATATTTGTATATACACATATATATAAACACATATATGATTAATAATAACAGTGCTTATTACCATTAATCTTTATTATTATCATATTTTGTTTACGGTGCTACACAGCAAACCTAATTCATATATAAATATATATATCTGTCTCTTATACACATCTAGATGTGTATAAGAGACAGCAATTACAGTGAAATTCATCACTGAATTACCATCATGTTACTCAATGGGCTTATTCGACTGGTTCATTTCGTTGAGTACGAATTTTCGTTGAATATTATTTTCATTCGACTGGTTCGTAAAATAGACTTCGTTGACAACACAAATTAATGTAAACCAGAGTGCGTTAATCAGCGTTAAGTTATGCACGTGACAAAAGAAAATATGGCAGATTGGTCAGTTTAGCAACAACATTTGCGTTAATATAATTTAGATTAAATTGCAGAAAATAAAAATTATTTTATAATATATACTCATATTGAAGTCAAAAAAATAATTGTAGGCTAACAGAATTCAAAAACTGGATGAAAACATTTTTTACGAAAAACCCTATTACTGCCACAAGCCGAAGCAGCCTTGATTACGCAGCGTGTATCGCGGTAACTATGCAGCCATTTTGTTTTGTCGAGAATTTACCAGTTTTCTATTCTTTATTTTTTAAATTTTTGTCCAAACAAAGGCCAAAGATGTGCATAGGAATCTTTTACTAGTGACCTAGTATTAAGTACGGTACGATCCCCAAGTAGCAGTGGGTACTACACTGTCAGTTGGATGTTGTTTACTACGTCAGGAAACTATTAATAATAATTATAATTATTATTATTTTCCTCTCGTAGCCTATTAATTACGTTTCTAAAAAAAATATATTTAATGATTTACACCCACCTGGTTAAGAACGCTTAAGGTTTCGTTAGCAGTTTTATTTCCATAGAATTCATGCATTGTTTCATCAAGGTAAACATTCAACTCAACAAATGCCGGTACACTACCGGTATCGATTGCACGACGTTTTCTCTTGGCTACATTCTTCCGTTCCGAAAAACTAGAATCACTTTGCACAGTACAGCTAGCACCAGATGGACTGCCCTTAAAAATAATATGAGGGTCTTCAACGCCGACTACTTTTATTGCGTGTGCATTGGTAAGTTTAGCAATGAAATAATCGTCACCATCTACACTGATGTAACCACTCTGAAATAAAAGGGGGAAAATAATCAGAAAGGACATGAAATACGGTGTGTAGTCCTATCATTACGATGTGACACTTGGTATCGTTAACCGTTAGCATATCAAAATATGTATCATGTTATTATTACAATTATTAAACAATTACAATACGTGTTTGCTATAGATGAGAGTTCATATATTTTAAGTGTTTAAATTTTGCTGAATACTCACCAAGCCGTTACACGTACTGATGGCGATACTCGCCTCAGATCCATCAACTAGCTTGCCTTCGTAATGACATTGATGCTCGGAACTGCTAAAAAATCCATCTACACGGTGTAGGATCATGGACAAATCTCGTCCAAAAGCTTTAAAGTTGTACTGTTCGGTGTCATCTATTTGGTTTTTATTTACACTAACCAATTCATAGTCGGATGCTGCAATTATTTAATTTACAATTCAGTTTGAAATCGATCGAATACAAATGTCGTAATTCAAAAAATTATAATACATTTTTTCCAAACAATTGCATTTTTTATATGTCTTTCGGACGTATCTGTATGCCTATACAATTAGAGCTTATTGTTTACAATAGACCACTGATACAGCTACCCATACAAGAGGTACTCAACTGGTGTCACTAATTTTACTTTTGATAACAGTGTTTTCACTTTTGTCTGTCCTGGTATCTCAAACAGAATTGATAATTTTGTGTTGTATTTGTTGATCGTAAAAGTTGTTTAGAATTGTGGTAGGCATTTGCCTTATTTGTAAAATGTATGTT